ACCGCAAATGAGGAGGAGCAAGTAGCTCCTCCGGAAGATATAGCGGCCTACTGGCCTCTTGGGCGGTGACTTCCTAGGCCGAGCGGCCTCCCAGCAACCGGTACCTCCTCCCTTTCGGAGGGAAACATCATTGCAGGCTCTGCTATCCTCCAGACAGGCCCTAGACCTGGGCTACTTGGACTGGTTCCGGCCTACCTCTAGCATACCGCTCCGGACAGGCCCTAGACCCCAACTTTTTGTCTTCTTCTGCTCGGCCTCCAGTACCCGACACTTCTACCACTACTTCAGTGGTACCGGCCTACCTGCTACTCGAGTGTTTTTCCCCTCTGCTCTAAGTGCCGTGGGCCTACCCCCCACTACTCGAGTGTTTTCCCCCTGCAACCCTCAAAGTCACGGCCACAGGTAAGTACCGGCCCTGCGGGGCCTTTCAACCAACAAGTACCCTTGCGGGTCACACACACACAGGCATGGAAACCAGCAGGCACGCACACACACAGACATGGGAATCACAGCAGAATGCGGCTCAGCAAGGCATTCATTCCAGCGGCAAATCCCAGATATCAGCAGTGTTCTCAGTCTGTGTTTTGGCGGGTCATTACAGAAGCATGGCCCCACTGTTAACTTCCCGAATGTTTTTTTGTTTTTTGTTTTTTTCAAAATCATAGAAGCTGGAACATTAATGGGTTAGGCAATATACTTGACAAGGAAGAAAAGTTGCATGACATAATCAAAGGGTTAACAACATACACACAAATAAACCAGCAGACATCATATTGCTACGAGATGTGTTCAGCAGAACACAATAGAATTGGAGAATTACTAGTAAGGAAACCGGGAGGAGTAAGGGACAAAGTATGGTCTTCAGATAAAGCAACAAGTATGGAAGGTACGGCAATCCTCATTCTCAGGTCATCTCGTTTTTACACTGCAGGCTTTGTCTTGGGTACAGAGGCAGATATGGAAAGGGGAAGGTGGTGCCTCATGGAAAGAGGAAGAATTCTGAATAATCAATGTTTATGCACCAGACAACCCATCAGAAAGAATGACCTTTGTAACCAACATCGGACAATTAATCACCCCCCATTCTAGCAGGTGACTGGAATGCTACTCTAGAGTCTAGACCCCTCTATGGACAGGATATCCAGATCTTCAGCCACTCTACCCACACAAGAGGCGGTACCTCTTCAAAAGTTGATGATGGACCATAACTTGGTGGAACCATACCGTACTCTTCACACTGGGGTAATGTTGGTTAACGCGAATCATGCCCACCACACGATCTTCTCATTCATCGATTACTTCCTACTATCGGAGACACTAATGGGAACAGCCAAACGTGAGGAAATTTCGCCGCTTGCATCGCACCCTGGCTTAAACCACAAACCTACTGAACCCATCCTTTAAGAGCTCAAGCTTTCATATACTCGAACCTTTTTTTTTTTTTTTTTTTTTTTTTTTTTTTTGTACAAGCTCCATCTATTGGTGGGGAGCAGCACCTGCTGGAAACCGGGTCCAGTGTCCCATAGATACAACCATTTTCTCACAAATTGGCACAAACTGGGAACCGGGCCCAGTGTCCCTACTAGAAAATCCAATTAGCCTAAGAATGGAATTTTGAAAATTGAGATACCGGGGCCATTACCCGGCTTTGACTCAAAGAAATTGGAGCTACTTTTATTTTTTTTGGCTAAGAAGTATTGATCTACTCAGAAAATTACTGTAGAAAACTTCAGAAATGGACAAAATTTCAGAAAAACAACTCAGAGACCCCCCAACGGCTTCTGACGATTTCTGAAAGGAGTAGAAGAAAAACTTTAGAACTACCCTCCTGTTCTCTCCCCAACACAGAGGGGAAAGGAGAAGACAGCACCTCTCCGCTGTGAAGAGAATTAGCATTGCCCTCGATCTTCCCAAAATCCCTCGCCCTCCTGTCCTTGAGCTGCCCCCGTCGAGAGGAGCCCCCTTCTCCTCAGTGACCCCAACTCAGGACAAGCCCCCTAACAGACCACCGCTCCCTAAAGAACAAACAGTTCCCACCAAAAGCCTGTTCCTGCAGAACAACGGTCCCCCAACCCCTCTTCCAACCTTCTCCATGTTGGAAAATACCCCCAAGGGTGTTCAGCCAAATTTTCCAAATGGGCGTCCAGGAATGTTGGTGCAATCTGAAGGGAGGGTATTCACCCAATGCGTATAGGTGGGAGTGGTTCCAAGAAAGCTACCTCTCTCTCGTACAAACGGTAGCCAAAATCTCAAGGAGACTAGCAAACAATAGAAAGCAGAGAAAACAAGCTTTGGAAACAACTTTAAAGATAACAGAGACAAATCTGATTGACCAGCCATCGTCCCCGCTCTATACAAAACTCAAGGGTCCGCTCAATTGAAGGTCTAAAGACGCTCTCAGACACACCCCGAAACAATAACGGACAGCAGTGGAATGTATAACATGCAAAAACCTTCTACGAAGAACCCTATCAAACGAAGACCCCTACCCCGTTCACCCCCAAGCATTAGAGAAGCAAGGACTAGAATGCTACAGTACCTGAACAGAACAATCCTCACAAGAGCAAGCAGAATCTCTAGACAAACCTATCACTTTGGAGGAGCTGCAGTTTGCAGTTCAAAGCATGCACAACAACAAGTCACCAAGCATTGACGGTCTGGTGAAAAAATTATGGGAAAAATTTTGGAGCTCATACGGTGTGGCATACTGATACCACACGGGCCCCAGTTAGGGCCCGGTTCTGTAATCGGCACAGTTTAGGCCTAGGTACCAGGTCACGACAGTCCCAGCTAGGTCCAGGTAGGCCTAGGAACCGTCGGTTCAGTTAAGGGTCCGGCAGGCCTCGTTTAGACCCCACCAGACCCAACGGCTAGTTGTTGAGGCCCGGTACCGGTCCATCGGTAGGCCCAGCCAGCGGCACAGTTTTGGCGCCCACTTTTCAGATTCCGAAATCGGATCTGAACCATTGGGCCTGATTAACGGTCCAGACCCGAAGGCCCTCAGTAGGACTGAGGCCTTCCCATCACTATATCAGCTGGGTACCAGCCTCAGTCGGTAGGTTAGTGGACATGAGGTTAGTCTTCAGGATTAGCGCAGCATTTCGGCGTTAGCAGATTTAACGCAGCGCTGCAGCGCTACCATGAGCAGCGAGGAGAGAAGGAGCTCAGCGGCAGAGAGGAATTAGCACAGCATTGGGAGCAGCGCTGGCCACCGGCCCAGCGCGGGGCCCAGCGCCAGTCCCTGCGGAGCCATAGCTACCGTATCAGGTACCTGGGAGGAAGGCCTTGCCTTCTCTCCCCCTTCTTCCTCCACCTCTCTCTCTCTCTCTCTCTGTCTCTCTCCGCCCCTACCTTCTCAATCTAAGTCTACTCCTAGGTTCTCCTGTGGACTACTACGAGTATGAAGGGTGGTTACGAATTCTGATGATATTGGAGACAGCGACATTGGGACTGTAGGTTGAGGACTACTCTTGGGATCTGATTTCATCTTCCTCTGAAGATGTACCTTGGCATTGTGAGATCGATATCTGAGACATTGTGAGACACTGTGTTCGTGACATTTCGGATTTTCGCTACCTCTGACATTTCAAGATACTATCTTTGGAAACATTGAGTTGACGTCATCTTCCCTCTCCTCCTCCCTTCGTCTCTCCTCTCCCTCCGTTCGTCCATGTGTGATCTCAGACCCTGGCCTTTCGTCTATGCCCAAGGCCAGGGCTTTCACGCCACTGATGCATGATTGAGAGTGTTCAATTGCAGTCTGAGTCAGGTCAGAGTCAGTCCATGGGTATCAACTCTTCCGCTGTATTTGTATTAACTCTGTATTATCTGGTCGATTCTGGGAATCTGCGCCACACTTATGACTGTGTTTCACGAGTATGCAACACTTTGGTATCGGAGCAGACCAGCATTGGATGACTCACCATTGATTGATTGATTGATTGATTGATTGATTGATTGATTATGCACACCTGTACTCTGTTATCATTAAATCGCAAGTTGCAAATTTTTTTTTCTTCGTACTTACATAGTAATTAGGTCGTTTGAATTATAATTTTAGGTTTTGCGGCTTTCTCCATACTGCGCACAATTAGGGAATCGCTAATCACGATTAACCTAATCAGCGCTAATTAGGGTTAGTCCTAACCTAATCTAACGACCTATCAAGTCCATGGGAAGTAAGTGCCAGCCAGGCACCACGCCAATTAATGCAGATCGGGCCTGAGCATGGCCACATTCAAACTGCATCTCCACGGAACTTTCACTTTTTGCAAAACGCATCTTTTATTGCGATTAAAGGTTGAATCTTCCCAGCAAATTGTGTATCTTCCTACTACCACTGATCTGCTACTTACCTCATGACCTCATAATGATGCTAAATTCTCCCGATTAAATTTTCCGAAATTATTAAAATTATGTTTAAATGTTTAAACTTGCTTAAACTTTATTCATTTTTTTTTACTTGTGCAAATTTAAATATTCTTTAATTAAATATTTAACTTTTGCTAAATTAATTGTTGCAAATTTAAATATTCTTTAATTAAATATTTAATCTTTTGCCAGAATTAAATTTTATTTAATTAACTCATATTTTCCGACCAAATTTTATTTAATTAAATAATTAAATATTTAATTTCTCAAAATTTGAAATTTTCGTGGGGGGGGGGGAATTTTTTTTTGACTAGTGTCAAGCTTCAAGGTCAGGGAAGAAAGGGACTGTCTGTGCATTGTTTGCCTCCCTCTTCCCTTCTTCCCACCCCTACCTTCTCCCTCCTCCTCTCCGTACTGCGGACTTCAGTCTCCGGCCACGTCAGCATTGTGCCACCTCAGCAGCAGGCCACGAACGCAGATTGCCACCTCAGCGTGCCACGACAGCCGAGTGCCAAATCAGCAGCGGCCACCTCAGCAGTGCCACATCAGCGGGTGCCACCTCAGCGGTGACACGTCAGCAGCAGACGAAGACCGGAATACTTAATGCGCCGTAGTCAACAGCTTGCGGAGCGCGGATCCACAGGAACCAAGCCCCAACAGGGACCTAAGACCCCTCGGATCCCGCGCAGATGACGCACGACCATGCCCGCTACCACTGACGCCAATGCACAAGCCAGCCCCAAGAGGCCGGTTACCCCTCCTATACCAGTTCAGCAGGCAGATGAAATGCAACTAGCGTTTCTCAAACGTCTCCAGCTCTACTCGGAGACTACGGCAGCTGAACTGAGCAAGTGGGAAGAGGAGGAAGCCACCCGCCAGCAGGCAATCCAACGCCAGCTAGCAGAGGCAGAGGCAGCACGTCAGCAGGCCGCAGCCGAAGCTGCAGCAGCCGCGCGGTTGCAGCAGCAGCAGGTCGAGGCAAGTCAGAATCAAGCTCGTTACTTGGCTACAATGGAGCTCGCCAACGAAGAAGCCACGTACTGGAGGATACTTCGACAACAGCACTTTCGAGCAAACGAAGAACAAGAGGAGCCAACCGAGGAAGAGAGAAGAAAGGAGGAAATAGCAGTACTAATGGAACTGCTGTACACATGCAATTGGCAGCAACGCGAGCTGCTGGCCATGCGGCAGACCCTCATCCGCCACGAAGCAACGCTTCGGACGCAGGAACAGAGGATCACCGCCTTGCAGAACGCGAACAGTCAGCTGCAGACCACTGTCGGCACAGGGTTGGCACGACTGTCTGCAGTTGAGTCGACAGGCAGTGCAGTGGCAGACTGCAGCCCAGCTTTGGCCGCGCAGGCCAAGCAACTCGAGGAGCGGATCAACCACGTCGTAGCATGCCTTGGCGACATCAGCAAGTTTGTTGGAGCAACGACAGTCAGCAATCAGCTGTAGACGCTCAGCGACCACGTTCAGCAACAACCGGTTGCCGTTGCATGGAAGATGCCGAACTTCAAGATTGAGAAGTTCGACGACTACCACAAGAATGATCCGATGCAGTGGTGGATGACATTCAACGCAGAGGCAGACGTACATCACATCCCACCCGGACGGCGGCTTGACGCACTCTACCTCGCCCTCATTGGAGGGGCACAAGCGTTCATGACGCACATGGTCGTCACGCTGGAATGCACCATCGCCACCCTCCACACCAAGATCACGTGGGAGGAATTCGAGAAGAAGTGGAAGACCCGGTTCATGGTCAACAACGACAAACGTCACGCCTTGAACAAGATCTTCCGCATATTCCAAGGCCAGCAAACATCACGGGAATGACTGACGGAGTGGCAAAGACTCATCGCCACCTCGGAGTTGAACCTGCCGTTCGACTCAATCCGGGCCGAGTTCTTCGCCCAGTCTTGCGACGCCTTGACAACTGCTCTTGGCAGCGAATTCCAGTATGAGACCTTTGATGCAATGATCTCAAAGGCAAGGGAGCTCATACAAGGTAATCGGCGCGCGGCCAATGAGACCCGCCAACAGCCCGGTTACGTGGAGAAAGGAAAAGGTCAGCGGACGCCCAAGTAGCAGCGATCCAACAAGGATCTAGTGAGGACCACGCAGCCGCTTCTACATCAAGTGACGGAGATGTGGTGGCAACGATACCACCGCAACGCTCAACACCCCAAGGGGGAAAACAAAAGGCGAAACCAGCGTCGGCGGATGGAGCACGACAGTCACCATAGACGAAGTTCGGTATTACCGAAGACATGTTCAAGTTGAGACAGAAATGGGGATGATGTTTATGGTGCAACAGCACCAAAAACATCACTAGCGCATGCCTCGACAAGGACAAGGAAAATGTCAAGCGTCCAAGCTCGGGAAACTGAGCACCACGGGAAGTGCAGCGGCATCACTTCCCAATCCGTCGGACTTGGCTGCCTTGCTAGCAGTCTCTCTCACGTTCGGGGATGACGCGATAGTCGCAAGTTCTCGGATTGATTTCGAGAACTATGCTGTCCAGCTGGTCCCACCGTTAAACCAGCCTCTCCACGTGCAAGATTCAAGCGCATGCGCAGTGTTACCGTCGTCAGAGGACAACGAACCGGTTGCTTCGCCAGCCCTTCTATCGGAGGATCCGTCAACTTGGGCGAGTCTTGAGGAACTCGACCCGTTGACAGTTGAGGACTTCCAATGGTTGCCTCTTCCCTCCACCGATTCTTTGCCAACACCGCATTGGAACGCCTTGATGGCACATTTGCGCGAATACTTGCACGCTGTCGTACCACCTTTGTCGACGGACGGCGGAGTAGCGGTTGTTGACCTTCGTAGCTATCTTGCGAAGATCGACCACGAGCACGTAACGCAACGGTACGTCGACATCGACGCGCCGCTCCTCTACATCCGCACCTACATCAGCCAGATCGGAAAGGCGACCTGTAGTGCCTTGATCGATTGTGGAGGGTCTCGCAACTACATCAACCAAGACTTCATGGCATGCGCCGGGCTAGGCCTGCGTGTTCGAAGGAAAAGTCAGCCTATGCACGTCACGTTGGCCGATGGTCACACAAAAAAGTCAATCGACCGTTGCGTTGACTCCGTGCCCGTGTAATTTGCCCCGCTATCATGCGAGGCTGTGTCATTCGACATATTGGACACTAAGTTCAATATAATGTTAGGCAGGTCATGGCTGCAAAGCGAAGACCATCCAGTGAACTTTTATCGACGCACCGTTCACGTTCGTGATCGCGTGGCGAACTAGTCTCGTGTACGGTGCCGCTTCCTCATACTTCAATTGGTTGTCACGTGGTCTCTGCGGCGAACATTCGCCAATCCATCCGATAAAACGACATCGAGGAGATGGGCATATGTTTTCTCCACGCCCTCCCACCCGGTGATCTGCCCAAGACGGACACATTGGACCCACGCATCATTGAGCTTTTGGACAACTATCAGGATGTCTTCGAAGCTCCCGCTGGAGTCATACCGGATCGGCCCATACGCCACAGGATCACTCTCTAGGACGGTGTTGTACCTCCGCGCGGATGTATTTACCGCATGAGCGAAGAGGAGCTTCAAGTGCTTCGGGCACAACTAGACGACCTCTTGGCCAAGGGTTGGATTCGCCCTAGCTGTTCGCTATACGGTGTTCCCGTTCTCTTCGTCCGGAAGAAGAACAAGGACCTTCGTTTGTGTATCGACTATCGGAAACTTAACACATAAACGATCAAGAACGCCGACTCTCTTCCTCGGATCGATGATGTTCTCGAGCAACTAGGCGGCGCCATGTACTTCTCGAAGCTTGACCTCAAGTCCGGATATCACCAGGTCGAGATCCAGCCAAGAGATCGGTACAAAACCGCATTCAAAACGCGGTATGGGTACTTTGAGTGGATCGTCATGCCTTTCGGTCTCACCGATGCCCCGGCTACTTTCCAAGCGGCTATGACGACGGAATTCCGCGACCTGCTCAACCGCACCGTACTCATTTACCTTGATGACATCTTGGTTTATAGCCGATCGCTGGAGGAGCACCTCGAGCACCTTCGCGCCGTTTTGGAGCGGCTCCATATCGTGAAGTACAAAGCGAACCGCGACAAGTGCGAGTTCGCCCAGCAAGAGCTGGAGTATTTGGGCCATTACGTTAAGCCGCAAGGCATTCGTCCACTCGCGGACAAAGTACAAGCCATTCAAGATTGGTCGGACCTCAAGTGTACTACCGACGTCCACTCCTTTCTTGGCTTAGCATCATATTACATGCGCTTTGCAAAGGTTTTCAACGGATCGCTGCACCATGGTCGCGACTTCAGTCCCCCTTGGTGCCCTTCGAGTTCAACGATGGAGCCCAACACGCGTTCCATACGCTGAAGACGGCCTTGCTCCAAGCTCCCGTCTTAAGCATTTATGACCCGACCTTGCCTACCAAAGTGACTACGGACGCTTCCGACTACGGTATTGGCACAGTTTTGGAACAACATGACGGCACAGATTGGCATCCGGTTGAGTACTTCAGCCAAAAGGTGTCGCCCATCAATTATCTTGATGATGCGAGAAAGAAGGAACTGCTAGCTTTTGTCACCGTACTTGAGCGTTGACGTCACTTTCTCCTCGGGTGTCGGCTATTCATGTGGGCAACGGACAACAATCCGCTAACTTATTACAAGACGCAAGACACGGTGAGCGGCACGATCGATCAGTGGATGTACTTCATTGACCAATTCGACTTCACCTCCAAGCATATACCGGGCCCCTCGAACAAGGCAGCGGATGCTCTCTTGGGAAGACCTAATCTTTGCGCCTTGGTGCACTCCACATTCGGCCTTGACGAGGACCTGCAACAGCATTTCGTAAACGGCTACAAGTCGGATCCGGGATTCTCCACACTCTATGTGGACTTATCATCGGATCAACCGCCGTCAAGCAATTACCGCATTGTCGACGGCTACTTGCTTCTTCATACACGAGGCAAGGACTTGTTGTGTGTTCCCCAAGACCGCATCTTGCACACTCGCCTCCTTGGCGAATACCACGATTCGCGGTTGGCGGGACACCTTGGCGTCGCACGCACACTTGCCCGACTCCGCCAGCGATTTCACTGGTCAAACATCATCAGGGACGTCAACGGGTACATTCAGTCATGCGCAGGTTGCCACCAGAACAAAGGGCGCCATCAGCTCCCGTACGGCGAACTGAAACCACTGGCGATTCCTCGGGAACCAGGTCTTTCCATTGCTATGGATGTGACCGGTCCTTTCCATCTCGATCGCCTTGGCCATGATGGTATTCTCATGGTCGTTGACCGTTTGAGCAAGCACGCTCGATTCTTCCATGCAAGTATCATGCAACGGCTCCCGAGCTCGCACGACTTTTGCATACCGGCTGGTTTTGCAGCCACGATGTTCCGAAAGACATCGTCAGCGACCGCGACACTCGTTTCATGTCAGCCTTTTGGACGACACTCATGGTGGAATCCGGCACCAGCATGAAACCGAGTTCCGCACTGCATCCTCAAACGGATGGGCAAACGGAACGTGCGCACCAGACTGCACAGATGATGCTCCGCACACTCATTCGCCCGGATCAGAAGGACTGGTTTGACCGCCTTCCCGACATCGAGTTCGCCTACAACACTTCGGTGCACCCGGCAATCTGCGTGACTCCCTTTGAGTTGCATCATGGTGGACGGAAAGGCCATATCTTCGCAGACATTTTGCTTTCACGGGCTGCCGATATCGACGCCGCTTGCTCTCCCGCTTCTACACGGAAGTACAGGGAACTGTTGGCCAAAGCCCGCGCAAATATGCAAGAGGCTCAGGTCCGTATGCAGCAGCAAGCAAATCGGCGTTGCATCCCATGTCCAATCCGCACCGGCGACCTTGTTTGGGTCACCTCCGAGGAATTCGCGCTCGAGCAGCACGTCTCGTGCAAGATCCTCCCGAAGTGGTTTGGTCCATGGAAAGTAACTTCAGCAGCTGGCGACGACCCCGTGGGTCCCTCTTTCATAATCGAGATTCCCCCGCATTTGACGGTCCACCCAGTATTTCACGCTTCAAAGCTGGCGGTCTATACTCCAGCCTCAGCAGCGGATTTCCCGGGCAGACGGTCACACGACCCTCCATCAATGGACGGTCACCAGGAGGTTGACCGCGTCCTCGCTCATCGCGCGCACGACAACAAGCCAATGCAGTACAAAGTTACTTTCAAGCAATGCGATCCCGACGACACACGCTGGATTTCACGAGCTGACCTGAAGGCGACAACACCCCTCATCTTCGCACATTACGAAAAACAGCGACTTGCTAAGGAAGCTGCCCAACCCGCCCGCCCCGTACGGACATCGGACAGACAGCTTCGCCCTCGCAGTTAGCTCGGTCTTCAAGGGGGTGAGTGTGTGGCATACTGATACCACACGGGCCCCAGTTAGGGCCCGGTTCTGTAATCGGCACAGTTTAGGCCTGGGTACTAGGTCACGACGGTCCCAGCTAGGTCCAGGTAGGCCTAGGAACCGTCGGTTCAGTTTAGGGTCCGGTAGGCCTCGTTTAGACCCCACTAGACCCAACGGCTAGTTGTTTAGGCCAAGTACCGTTCCATCGGTAGGCCCAGCCGGCAGCGCAGTTTTGGCGCCCACTTTTCAGATTCCGAAATCGGATCTGAACCGTTGGGCCTGATCAACCGTCCAGACCCGAAGGCCCTCGGTAGGACTGAGGCCGACCCAACACTATAGCAGCTGGGTACCAGCCTCAGTCGGTAGGTTAATGGACAGGAGGTTAGTTTCAGGATTAGCGCAGCATTTCAGCGTTAGCAGAATTAGCGCAGCGCTGCAGCGCTACCATGAGCAGGGAGGAGAGAAGGAGCTCAGCGGCAGAGAGGAATTAGCGCAACATTGGGAGCAGCGCCAGCCACAGGCCCAGCCCGCGGTGCAGCGCCAGTCCCTGCGGCGGCATAGCTACCGTATCAGGTACCTGGGAGGAAGGCCTTGCCTTCTCTCTCTCTCTCTCTCTCTCTCTCTCTCTCTCTCTCTCTCTCTCTCTCTCTCTACCTTCTCAGTCTAAGTCTACTCCTAGGTTCTCCTACGGACTACTACGAGTATGAACGGTGGTTAGGAATTCTGATGATATTGGAGACAGCGACATTGGTTGTAGGTTGAGGACTACTCTTGGGATCTGATTTCATATTCCTCCGAAGATGTACCTTGACATTGTGAGATCGATATCTGAGACATTGTGAGACACTGTGTTCGCGGCATTTCGAATTTTCACTACCTCTGACATTTCAAGATACTATCTTTGAAAACATTGAGTTGACATCATCTTCCCTCTCCTCCTCCCTTCGTCTCTCCTCTCCCTCCATTCGTCCGTGTATGATTTCAGACCCTGGCCTTTCGTCTATGCCCAAGGCCAGGACTTTCACACCACTGATGCATGATTGAGAGTGTTCGATTGCAGTCTGAGTCAGGTCACAGTCAGTCCATGGGTATCAACTCTTCCGCTGTATTTGTATTAACTCTGTATTATCTGGTTGGTTCTGGGAATCTGCGCCATACTTATGACTGTGTTTCACGAGTATGCAACATACGGGGAGGCCTATTAAACTTTTATAATGACAGCTGGCTAAAGGGGGGACTAGAGAACCTGTTGAGCAGCAACGTGGTTACATTGCTGTACAAGAAAGGGGACAAGGAAGACAAAAAAAAATACAGACCAACATCCCTGCTTACACTTCCTTATAAGATCCAAGCCAAAATGTGGCATACTGCGTAGCCACACGGGCCCTGCAGGGCCCGTCCCGGACATTCAGCCTAAAAGCCGAAAACTTAGGGCTTACAGGCCCCGTTCGTTTCAGCCTGGATGCTGAAAAACGAGGGCAGGCCATACCCCGTTTCAGCCTATTTCTGGGTCTTTTCAGACCCAGAGTTTTCAGCCTGAAACGGAGGGCCATTTTCAGGCCCTCATTGTTTCGACCTGCCCCTAAGACTCAGGCRHRTAARYAGGGATGCGGAACAGGCCAGAAATAGCCTGTTCCTCACGAGTTTGAGCAGGAGCTGCAGCTGCAGCCCCTGCCTCCCTTCGGCAGGCTCAGCAGGCACACCCGTAGTACATACGAAGTTCCCATGCACTTCACGGGTAGGTAGTGTCTTCAGGATTCGGCCGCAGCACTCAGGAGGAGCGCTGCAGTAGTCTTCAGCGCTAGTAGTAGTAGCGCTAGCTGTAGTCTTCGGCGCTGGGCGCCATAGCTGTAGCTGTAGTC